GGATCCATGGGCTGGGAGGGCTTTTCCAGCCTCAGGGATCCTGGGATTCTTGCACAGTCCAAGCAGCTGCCTGACGGGTCTCCCCCATGATCAGCTTTCCTGGGTGACATCCATCCCTGACCTCCTGTGTCATTCCAGCTTCTTGGCTGCTTTTCTTCCCTGCTTTCTGCAAGGTGTTGTTCCTGGCCTGGTGGGAGGTGTCCCTGCCCATGGCAGGGGTTGGAACTGGATGGTCCCTTCACACCCAAACCATCCTGGAATTCCATGATAAAAGCTGGAAGCACCAGGCTGTTCCAGGTCTGTTCCCTGGGAAGGAGCAGGGTGATGTCCTAGTGTCCCATGCAGGTGACAAAACCCTTCCCAGGCCATCAGTAACCAAAGCTCTGAGCATTTTCCAGGTGGTGGTTTTCCAATATTTTCAGTTTTCAGCTGTGTGATCCTGGGGCAGTGCCAGGATTGGCAGAGCACTGGGTTTGGGAAGAGGCAGAGGGATGATCCAGTTATTTCCCAACCTGTGAGGGTGAAATCATTTGCTGGCAAGAAAACTAAGCAGTCAGGTGCTGGAGGCAGTGGATAAAGGGTTAAAAAGGAGGATGTAATTGCCAGCAGAAAACTCCATAAAGGAAATTTGGGATCATTTGGGAGGAGGATATACAGGATAACCACGCTCTGGGATTCAATCCATTCCACCCCATTTGTCCAAAAAAACCCCAAGATGAAGAGCTGATTTCACCAGAGGAGGTTGGTAATTGGATCAGAGTCACATTTTCTGAGGAAAACACGTGTTTTGTTGAAAATGGAATCGCTATGGAATCAACTATGAACAAAATTGGATCGATGGAATGATTGGATATTTGAAGTAAAAGGATTATTTCCGAAGCTTTGCAGCTCTGAAAACAGGGATGATCCATTTCAGAATTTAGTTCAGCACCGAAATGTGACCCAGAGTGAGGGTCTGTGAGACCCTTGTGTTCATGGAATCATGGAATCACTGAGGTTGGAAAAGCCCACGTGACCAAATCCAACTGTCCCTCAGCACTACCAAGGCCACCACTGCCCCATGTCCCCAAGTGCCACATCCACAGGGTTTGGGAATCCCTGCAGGGATGGGGACTCCAGCCCTGCCCTGGGCAGCCCTTTCCAATGTCTGACAGCCCTTTCCAGGAAGGAATTTTCCCAGTGTCCAGCCTGACCCTCCCCTGGCACAGCTTGGGCCTGTTTCCTCTTGTCCTGTCCCTTGTTCCCTGGTTGCTCCCTGTTCTGGCTCCTCGGTCCATCCCCCAGTGCTGAGGTTGCCTTTTCCAGGTTATTTTTGGGTTGGTGCCTCAGAGCTGTTGGATCAGTCGCTCTTCCAGCACCTCTGGAACACCCGAGGCACAGCTCAAGTCCTGCAGATCCAGGAGCCTCATGGAATCATGGAATGGTTTGGTTTGGAAGGACCTTAAAGCCCATCCAGTGCCACCCCCTGCCATGGGCAGGGACACCTTCCACTAGCCCAGCTTGCCCCAAGCCCCATCCAACCTGGCCTTGGGCACTTCCAGGGATGTTGAACCCTTCCAGGGACGAATTAGTGCCCAGGAAAAACTGGGAAACACCCATTTTTTCAGTTGATCTGCCTTGTCAGCTCAGCTGCAAGGGGGATGTCCACCTCCTCCAGAAAAGGTTGTGGTCACTGGCAGGTGACTTCCGTGAGTCCCGGGCTGAAAAAAACCCAGGGAGAGGTGCAAAATAATGGGGTTTTGGGGATGACATCCCTCAGTTTTCCCGACAGGCAGCTCTCACGGTGTCTCTGCTCTGCCCCAGGTGAATGGTGTGAACGTGGTGAAGGTGGGGCACAAGCAGGTGGTGTCCCTGATCCGGCAAGGGGGGAACCACCTGGTGATGAAGGTCGTGTCCGTCAGCCGCAAGCCGGAGTCGGAGGAAGTGGTTCGGAAGAAGGGTAGGTGTGAATCCCGGGATTCCCTGGGCTGGGGGGACATGTCACCCAGGGGTGGGAGCCACCAGAGGGTCTGCAGTGGCACCAGTGAGGAGGGAGGGCACTGGGAGAGGTGATGTGGCTGTGCCAGGCACAGACAGCTCCGAGTGGGAAGCACCGGGATGCGCCCACGGCTGCGGGTGGGGCCGATGGTCTTGGGAGAAGAACAGGCAGAGAAAAGCTCAGAGTAAAGCTCAGCAGAGCTCAGAGTAAAGCTCAGTGTCCCCTAAGCTACTGAGTCCTGCCTAACCAACCAGCCACTGAATAGGCTCTGTCCTGACAGCCCGTTAAAACCGAGTTTTCCAAAGCCAGGCGCTGGAAAACCTGCAGTTCAACACCAGGGATCCGAGTGGATCAGGAGGAAGGAAAAGTCATCAGGCTCCCTTTTAGTTTTCACTGGTGCAGATACTTCTCACAAAGCTGAGCATTCTGCTGCCATTGCGTTTTGAAGCCTTTGGGGGGTTTTTTTATGAGGCTGAAGACAACAGAATTTAATGTTATTGAAAAGTGGAAGCTGAAATCTGGGAAAACGATATTCCTCAGAAAGATGGAAGTTCCTGACCTAAGCTGGTTTTATCCAGGCAGGACACACAGTTCATTTTGGAAACGAAATTACTGTTATTAAAAAATGATGCAGGTGGTCAGGGGAGCTCTGGCAGATCCCAACCCCTGCTGGGATGCAGGACACCAGCTCTGTTTTCCCACCGGAGCCGTGTGTGCCCAAAGCTTGGAGCCAACTCCTTGGGATCAGCTGCTCCACACGGTGCTGGAGAGCAGAGACCCCCTTCCCTGAGGGGTGTCAGGGTGGGGAACAGGCCCCGGGGGTGTTGGGGGCAGGATGGTGCCCGCAGGAGCTCAGGGGGTGCCGGGATGGAGCCTGTGCTTCCTCAGGGATTTGAGCACCTTGGTTCTCTCCAGCTCTCACACAGAAATGTGGCACCAACACTAAGGTTGTTTTCCCTGCAGGCCTTAAACTGGAGGAGGGCAGGGTTAGGTGGGATATTGGGAAGGAATTCCCAGCTGTGAGGGTGGGGAGGCCCTGGCACAGGTTGCCCAGAAGCCGTGGCTGCCCCATCCTGGAATTGTTCCCATCCCTGGGGGCTCCTTTGGCATGGACGGTCCCAGGGCTGCTGGTCACCTGCTGGGACCCCTGGGCTTGGGGACACCCAGGTGGGGAAGGCAGGGACACCTGGATGGGAGGCAGACACGGCTGTGTCCAGGAGGGACACACCCTGGAATCCAGCTGTGGTGGGCAGGAGGGTTTTGGAGGGATTGCAACTGGCAATCCCACACTGGGAATGGGATGGAGGGGACAGGAGAAGGGGGGAGGGAGTGGGGGGGACAGGAACAGGGAGATGGGATCATGGAAGACAGGAGCAGGGGATGGGAACAGGAGGGACAAGAGGAGGGGAATGGGAATGAGGGAGACAGGAGCATGGGAATGGGAGTGGGGTGGCAGGAGCAGGGGGATGGGAACGGTGGGACCAGGAGCAGGGGGATGGGAGCAGGGGGCTGGGATCAGGGGGATGGGAGCACAGGGATGGGGGCCAGGATCAGGGGCATGGGAGCACAGGGATGGCAGCACAGGGATGGGAGCACAGGGATGGGAGCAGGGGCCGGGATCAGGGCGCTCCCAGCACAGCACGAGGGGCGAGGGGGAGGGAGCAGCTCCGCTGGCACCGAGAGCTGCAATTATGTTGTCACGGCACAAAAGCGGAGCCGTGGGAAAGGCTGAGCTCGGGAATCAGCCCTGGGACCCCCGGGGGTGCCACTCGCCCCTTCTCCCGGTGCTTCCAGCCCCGCAGCCGGGGAGCAGCCGCCTGTCACTGCCCGGTGCCTGCTGCCCATTCCCAGAGCCCGGAGCCGGGTGGCCGCTCTTCCAGCCTGGAGTTTGGGGACCAGAGCCGGGTCCCCCGTGCGGGACCCCCCGTCTGCAGCGGGGCCGGGGGGCTCAGACCCCCCTCGCCCCCTTCCCGGGGTGCCGGGGGCCTGTGTGGGACTGGCTCGGGCTGAATCCGCCCCGTTGGGTCCCTGATGCAGCAGCAGAGCCTGGAGCTCCAGTTGCCATGGCAATGCCTGAGCGTTGAATCCAGCATTGTCAGCGAGCGAGGAGGAGGAGGAGGCACCCAAGTGAAGAGGAAGAGCCTTCAACTCATCCCCGTGCCGGTGGGCTCACGGCTCATGGCAGCCCGGGATAGGGAGCCCTCGGGGCCATTCCCACGGCCCGGCCCGGCCACCACGTGTCCCGGTTGTCCGTCGTCGCCGAGCCGGACGCCAGCGCTGCCGTAGGGCCGGAGCGAGCGGAGCATCATCCCGGCCCCGGGCACGGCGGAGGAGGGTGGGTGGGCTGCGCTCCGGGGGCTGCGCCGAGGCGGGAAGGACAGACGAGGCGGGAAGGAAGGAAGGAAGGACAGCCGGAGCCGGGCCCCACCGGCCGCGTTCCTCCCTCCCACCCCCGGCCATGGCGGGGCCGTGACAGCCGAGCCCCCGCGGGCGGGCGCTGCCCGAGCCGGGCTTGACTCGCGGGGGGCTCCCGTGGCCGGAGCCTCTCCCAGGGGGGAAGGCGCAGCCCAGGGACATGACTTGGACTCTGCTCCTCGGCTGAGGGCTCCACGTTCCTGCGGGAGCTCCGGGGGCCTCGCCCCGTGCCCGGGACTGTGGCACCGAGACCATGAAGAAGTTCGCTTCCACGCGCAGCCTCAATAAGATCCTGCAGCAGTGCGACTCCTCATCCCGCGAGTACGAGGAGATCCAGGCTGTGGAGAAGAAGTGGCACCTGCATCTGGCCACTCCTCGTAAGTTCCTGGACAAGAAATGCAAAATGCCGTCTCTCTTCCTTTCAGCTCCGCCGCCTCCCAAGAGAGCGCCCAGCACCACCCTGACGCTGCGGTCCAAGTCCATGACGGCCGAGCTGGAGGAGCTGGGTAAGGGCGGGGGGCTCTGCCGGGCACGGGGGGCTCTGCTGGGCACGGGGGGCGTGGGGAGCCGGGGCCGGAGCTCTCCTGGTGCCCGTTTTCCCGGAGAGCTGCATGAGCGGGAGCGCCGGGCGACGTTGTCCTGCTGCACCGGAGGTGCCGTCGTGCTCGGACGGGTGTGGGGGGCTTGGAGCAGGATTAGGGGTGCAGGACACCCCCCCTAGAGCCACCCACCCCTCCGGTGTCGCATCCCCGCGGAGGCGGCCGGGGGGAGCACGTTGGGTGTCTCCGTGTGCTCGTGGAGGGCTCGCCGCCCCCGGGCCCGGCCAGCAGGAACCCTGTTCTGAACCCTGTTCTGAACCCTGATCCTCACCCTGCTCTTCTCCTGTTCTTCTCCCTGTTCCTCTCCCTGCTCCTCACCCTGCTCTTCTCCTGTTCCTCTC